CTTGGCAGGGTATGGTGGCTCACACCTGTAATCCCAGTACTTTAGAAGGCCAAGGCGGGTGGATCACCTGAGGTCAGGAGTTCGAGACCAGCCTGGCCAAACCCCGTCTCTACTAAAAATACAGAAAATTAGCCGGGCGTGGTGGCAGGGGCCTGTAATCCCAGCTACTCAGGAGGCTGAGGCAGGAGAATCGCTTGAACCAGGGAGACGGAGGTTGCAGGGAGCCAAGATCAAGCCACTGCACTCCAGCCTGGGCGACAAAAGCAAGACTCCATCTCAATAAATAAATAAACAATCTTAAAATTGTAAATTTTAAAAAAAAAGAATAGGTGCCAGAATGAAGGCAGATAAAAGATAAAAATTCAGAAAGTGGTTCAATGTATATCTTACGAACAGTATCACCAAAATTTAGCTCATAATATACAACACAGATGCTCCTCACCTTACAATGCAGCTACTCCCAATAAACCCATCATATGTTGAAAATTTCCTGTTAAAAATGTGCTTTCAACTCACAGTATTTTCAACTTACAAAAAGTTTATCCTGACATAACTCCATGGTAAATCAAGAAGCACAATAAATGCGTATTATTTTCATAGCACTGTGAAGTCTAAAAACCGTAATTCAAACCATTTCAAGTTGGGAACTGTTTTAAAAATACTAATGTCTGACTGGATTATGAGCATTACCTTTCAAATGCAACACTAAAAACATACTGGGCATATTTTCAAGACAACTGTACTGAACATAAAAAATCTTAAATTTTTTTATGATTTAGGTGCAGTGGCTCACGCCTGTAATCCCAGCACTTTGGGAGGCTGTGGTGGGTGGATCATGAGGTCAGGAGTTCGAGACCAGCCTGACCAACATGGTGAAACCCCGCATTTACTAAAAAATACAAAAATTAGCTGGGTGTGGTAGTGTGCACCTGTAATCCCAGCTACTCAGGAGGCTGAGGCAGGAGAATCGCTTGAACCCGGGAGGTGGAGGTTGCAGTGAGCCGAGATTGCGCCACTGCACTCCAGCCTAGGCGACACTCCAGCCTAAGTGAGGGAAAAAAAAAAAAGCTTAAAAGAGGTAAGGAGAGAAGGATAAAAAGATAGTCTGATAGTCTGTAACACTCAATCTTTTAACTATAGTATCACTTATATCATTATAATCATCCCATATTTTTAAAGTCCTTTCCCAAATATTCCCAAGCCAAGCAAGCATGTCTAACAATAAACTTATAGTATGTTTACTTCATTTACAGTGTGCCTACTTTATAGCCGACCAGTAAATCTGTTGTTAAAAACAAAATGTAAAAATAGATTCAAGTTTGACAGCAAAAAAATCAAGTTATGTTAAACTTATATATGCCAAAAGTAAAATCCAAATAGTATTTATATACTTCTAAATATTAAAGCTAAACAAGTTTGACTAAACCAATGTTTTTTAATCTAGCACCCACTCGACGACCACAAAAAGTTCTTAAAATACAAAATTTAATTCATTCCCAGAGCAAAAAAAGATTTATACATGTAGTCATCAGCACTATACTCACTCAACACAATACCATATTTAATAACTGTCCTTCAAATAACATGACAGGGCATATCTTAAATACGATCATAGAGTAAGCGCTTTTTAAACAAGATAATATGCATGAAATGGGAGAACAGAAGACCATTAATAGACCTTCACAGTTTATAATGAGTCCTGCGTGAGAATCCCTAGTAGATGGCTTAAAAAGCTTAAATAAACTTTCATGGTGCTTATTACTAACACTGCTAATTAAACCAACCCCGCTATTTTTTATCAGCAATCTAATCAACAATAAACAAGACAGGCTCCTACTATCGTCACTTTATAACAAAACCACTTCAAAAAGAAATCAAGATATATATGTTTACTTGCTGCTTGAGATCTAAAAAAAAGTGTGTGTATGTGTGCTTATGTGCGTGTATGTATGTATGTATGTAGGTATGTCACCAGGCACGGTGGCTCACGCCTGTAATCCCAGCACTTTGGGAGGCCAAGGCAGGCGGATCGCATGAGGCCAGGAGTTGGAGACCAGCCTGGACAACATAGTGAAACCCCATCTCTACTAAAAATGCAAATAAATTAGCCAGGCATGGTGGCATGTGCCTGTAATCCCAGCTACTAGGGAGGATGAGGCATGACAATCGCTTGAATCCGAGAGACAGAGGTTGTAATAACGCGAGATCACGCCACTGCACTCCAGCCTGAGCAACAGAGCTACTAGGGAGGCTGAGGCACGAGAATCATTTGAACCCAAGAGGCAGAGGCTGTGGTAACTTGAGATCACACCACTGCACTCCAGCCTGGGCAACAGAGCTACTAGGGAGGCTGAGGCACGAGAATCATTTGAACCCAAGAGGCAGAGGCTGTGGTAACTTGAGATCACACCACTGCACTCCAGCCTGGGCGACAGGGTGGGACTGTGTCTCCAAATAAATAAATGCCTAACAATGACCCTAAAGTTACAATTATTTCACTCATAATAGATAATTTACTCTCAAAACTACATAAGTTTTTTAAATGTTTAACTCAAAAAAAGGCACAAACAAAGTCAAACCAAAATGTTTGTTTTCTTTTTTTTTTTTTCTTTTGAGACACAGTCTCGCTCCGTCGCCCAGGCTGGAGTGCAGAGAAATGATCTCAGCTCACTGCAATCTCTGCCTCCGAGGTTCAAGCGATTCTCCTGCCTCAGCCTCCCAAGTAGCTGGGATTACAAACCACCACCACCATGCCCGGATAATTTTTTTTTTTTTTTTTTCATATTTTTAGTAGAGACTCAGTTTCACCATGTTGGCCAGGCTGGTCTCGAACTCCTCCACCTCCCTCAGCCTCCCAAAGTGCTGGGCTTACAGGCTTGGGCCACCATGCCCACCCCAAAATGTTTTTAAACAATTATTTGTTGGTATTTACCAAATCATATCTACAAATATGAAAAAGATACAGGATCTAAATTTTAAATACAGTCTGCAGAAATATTTCCAAAACTAGCATATACCAACTTTCTAAGAAAAATATTATTTTCCAATTGACAATGTCCTTTTTATCTTCACTTCCTTAAAAACAATTCATAATAGATTTTTTTTTAAAGAGACAGGGGTCTCACTCTGTCACCCAAGCTGGTATGCACTGACACAATCCCAGCACCCTATAGCCTCCACTCAAGCGATCCTCTCACCTCAGCCTCCTGGGTAGTTGATACTACAGGCATCCACCACCATGCTCAGCTAATGGCAATATGTTCTTAAAGAACAAATTAAGTACAAATGATTTTCCAGTATTATTTTTTAGTTTATTAAAAAGTATTTCCTATAAAGCAAGTAAAAATGTAAGCAGGAAAACAGGCAAGTCAGAAAAAGACAGATTAGTATTTAGGCAAGCTTTTAGTGTTTTAATTAAAAGACAAAATATTCTCAAACAAAAGATATGACATTTAGCCACTGGAAAAAACAAACCATTAGCACCACTGAAAAAGAAAAAATAGCCAAGAATATATAGAACTTCAAAATTGTTCTATTATAAAGGAAAAAAGCTGATAATTACTTACAGGTGAAGTAATCAGTTAATAATATATAGCAACAAACTATTATTGCTGAAGTCACCTAAAGATTTCACAAGATGACCACAGTAACACATGCAAGAAATCTCTCTCATGCTTTCAATAAAGCTATAATCTAAATTTTCAGTTGCAATGGGTAAAACCATATTCACAAATATGGCATTAAACCTATCCTTTCATTAAATACTCATTAGTCAAAATGTTTCTATATTTCAATGTTTCCATTTAACTATCAAGAACGTATTTTATCTAAAAAGGCAAAAAAAAATTCTATTAAGTAGATGTGCTACAAATTTAGCAACAACAAATCCACTTACTTTTTTCTCTTTCTCATGATGTTTATCCTGAGAGTGAGAGGAAGAATCACTTAAACTTTGATCATATGACCTATTACATCCCCGTTTGCTCTTTTTCTAAAAAAGAAAATATATATACATATATGTATATGTATATAAAATAATCTTTGTGTTAGGCTTAAACCAATTCAACTATGAAGTATTTTTAATGTCTACTGAAATTTTTTAAAGTCTATTTCAATCTATATAATCCAGTTTAGACACCATTCATATATTATCCATTGCATTATAAAAGAAAATCTAAACATTAATGCCATATTTTTGTAAATTAATTAAAATGTGTGAAAATAGATCATCTATTTTTAAATAAGCTACTATATATTTTCAACATCAGCTTAAAAATAAAAAGTTTCAACAAAAAGAGAAAATGCCATATTAAAAAAGGGTGCCAAGACTAGAATAGAAAAGTAAACATTTGAAGTGTTACTTTATGCCACTAGGAAAAGCAAGAAGACTTTTAATCTTATACCATCAGTATTAAGGTATACAGTTTTCTAAAAATTTATCTCTGCAGTTCAATAATCCCTGCACATTATATTTGATAGAACATATAAAGAAAAAAATTTTTAAATTAAAGGAAATGTCAGTATTAGACTCATGCATTTTTCAAAGCATTACTAAAAAGCATCACACATTTCTGTTTAAAACACTTGTACCATTGCATAATTAAGTATGAAGGTGAGAGTTATTTGAGGTGTTTAAAAGTTGGTGGTACCACATCTAATTGGTGTAAACTAGATAAAAATCACTATAAAAAAGTTCAAATTCCATGCAAATGTAAAGATTATACAATCTTATTAATTAAAGACATTTTTCCCAACTATCAAATGGGATAACATCAAGTCTATAATGAGCAATAAGAAAATTCTATTTGCACAAACTTCAAAATCCATTTTTTTATTTATATCATCTCTCATTTAGAAAATGAACATTTCATTATGCTTGTAACACCTAGGAAGAAAAATTTTCAATTTTACAATCTCAAAATTTTTATTAGTCATTAAAATAAATCAAAGCATTCAGCATCAAAGGATATACAGATACACACTCTTAAGCAATTCATATACAAAAACCAAAATATTAAGAGGCCTAAGCTGCTCATTTCGTAAGACAGGAGCCCCTTGCGGTATTTATTTTCAAAAGAAATAGCACCATTCACAAGGGAAATAAAATAATTTAAAAATCAGAAACTAAAAGAAAAATAAGCCTTAAAGCTTCAGTGTATGAATATCTACCACTAAAAAGAATGAGAAATAGACACTTGGGACATCAGACATACTGACCCTTCAAAGGAACATGGATACAAATATGTAACACCCAATCAAATATTACTAACTCAATCACCATGATCCTGTGTGACACCAAACAGTGACCAAATGTAAAGAATTCCCAAAGTTGTATTGAAATATATTTTTCTGAAGGTTTTTAAGCAAGTTACAAAAGAGCCTTACTTCAGTTTTACTATTTCCCAGTAAATAAAAATGAAAATAAGTAAATGGGTAATGGTAATCAAGCAGAAAATGAGAAACAAAGCAATAATCACAAAATGTATAATTGGTGCCAAAAATCCAATTAACTAAAGGTGTTAAAAATATAAACAGTTTCCTACAGATTAATTTTTTCACTAAATGTACACCAACATTCACTATCAATATTAATATATATTCTTTTTTTTTTTTTTTTTTTTGAGACGGAGTTTCAATCTTGTTGCCCAGGCTGGAGTGCAATGACACGATCTCTGCTCACTGGAACCTCCACCTCCCGGGTTCAAGCAATTCTCCTGCCTCAGAGTCCCAAGTAGCTGGGATTACAGGCATGCACCAGCACACCCCGCTAATTTTGTATTTTTAGTAGAGACGACGTTTCTCCATGCTGGTCAGGCTGGTCTCCAATTCCCAACCTCAGGTGATCCGCCCGCCTCTGCCTCCCAAAGGGCTGGGATTACAGGTGTGAGCCACAACACCCGGCCTAATATTAATATTTATTCTAAATGAGAGTATTTAAGAATATTCACCTTTACAAATACACTGAAACAAGCAAAATCTTTTAAAATTACTATTAATAGATCTTTTTACTTCCAATAAAGAACATGCTAAACACAATCTCAAGCCAAAAACTCAAGGACAAAGGAACTGTTACATGCTTTTTTTAATAAAAGTGTCATTCTATTGTCAACACTAATCATAATAACTTCATTAAATCCAAGACAAATTCTTACCAGCTTACTAAAATGGTATTTACAGTAGCCACAGTATTGGACATTATCGGCACCATTACCTTCTTCTTCACAAAGCAGTCCGGCAAACTGAGCGCTGAAAATAAAAGCCAAGTACATTATTGATATTCTAAAATCACAGTACCTGTATATATATAAGCAAATAAAATTTACTTCCAATCATTCATGTTCTGAGAAAATATAACTCCTAAGAAAAAAAAAATGAGAAAATAAAAAAGCTTTATTCTAGCTGTAACCAAGTATATTTCATTCCAACCTGCAACTGATCTTTTTTTAAAGTTATGTTTATGGCTTAAAACAAACTCTTCATACATCTCTATTAGGATGAAGATGTATACATGTTTTATGTCTCCAAACAGACATTAAGTTTAAGATCCATTCTCTTCCCCCTCAATTCCACCCCATCAGTTAACACTTTGTTTTATTTTTTCAATCTGTCACAGGTACAAACGGAAAGGCCATGCCTCTAAAGGGCTAAAGTGATGGTATTTAGCCCATGGATGCAGATTACATAACATTACAAGGAAAACATGCATTCACTCAAGACTCTAAGTGCTTTAAGTCACAGCACAATAAGCAAGATAAACATAAATTCTGCTTTTCAGTCAAAAGCAATGGAAGAAATGAAAATGAAACCTAATATCACAATTTTATTTTTTCGGAGACAGGGTTTCGTTCTGTCACCCAGGCTGGAGTGCAGTGCTGCAATGAAAGCTCACTGCAGCCTTGACCTCCTGGGCTCAGACAATCCTCCCACCTCAGCCTCCCAAATAGCTGTGACTACAGGAGTACACCATCACACCTGGCTAATTTTGTTTTTATTTTTTGTAGAGATGAGGTGTCTTGCTATGTTGTCCAGGCTGCTCTTTAACTCCTGGGCTCAAGCAACCCTCCCACCTTGGCCTCCTAAAGTGCTGGGACTACAGGCTAGCCACTGCACCCAGCTAATATTCTTTTTTTTTTTTTTTTTTCTTTTTTTGAGATGGAGTCTCATTCTGTACAGTGGCACGATCTCAGCTCACTGCAACCTCGGCCTCCCAGGCTCAAGCAATTCTCCCACCTCAGCCTCCCAAGTAGCTGGGATTATAGGAGCGCTTTACCACACCTGGCTAATTTTTTTGTATTTTTAGTAGAGATGGGGTTTCACCATGTTGCCCAGGGTGGCTCTGAACTCCTGAGCTCAGGCAATCTGCCCACCTCGGTCTCCCAAAGTGCTGGGATTACAGGCAAAAGCCACCGTGCCTGGAATATTCATTTTTGAAAACAAAACGCTGAAGTTTCTAATCATCATCTTTTCAATTTGACCTTTCACACTTTTAACATTCCAAAATTATATTAGTATACAGATCTCATACCCCAAAAACTACTTTCATCTTTGAGAAATTTGGTACAGTCATTACGAGAATTTATAAAAGTCAAAAACCGTCTTCCATTTCACAATAGTAGTATAAAACAGATTTCATATAATCAAACACTAAACACTCAGGAAATGAGCATGTACCTACACTGGCAGTGAGGCACAGACTGATTCTTAAAATTAGTAAGTGCACAGATTATTCCTGACCTTTTTATTTGGAACTGTTACCTATTATGTAAAATATATTGTTGTAAATAATTTTTGCCCTTGAAATTTTGTTGCTGAAAGGATATATTTTTTTTCTTTTTTTTTTTTTTTGAGACAGAGTCTTGGTTGTCTCCAGGCTGGAGTGCAATGGTGCAATCTTGGTTCACTGCAAATTCCACCTCCTGGGTTCAAGCGATTCTCTTGCCTCAGCTTCCTGAGTAGCTGGGATTACAGGCACCTGCCACCACACCTGGCTAATTTTTGTATTTTTAGTAGAGACAGGGTTTTGCCATGTTGGCCAGGCTGGTCTGGACCTCCTGACCTCAGGTGATCCACCTGCCTCAGCCTCCCAAAGTGCTGGAATTACAGGTGTGGGCCACTGCACCCAGCATGAAAGAATATCTTAAGTAAATTTTTGAGAAGTTGCCATTGTAATATTGAGAATGACAATGGTTACACTACTTCTCACTTGAGACACAGAAGGTAAGGAGGTACTATCATTCACTGAATCCTTGTATTCAGACACTGCACTAAGCTTACCTAGATTAGCTCATTTAATCATAATAACAAACTGAAGGATAGGTAATCAATACCAAAATTTAAAATAAGATGAAACTGAAGCTTACACAGAATAAGACATCAGAACCAGGGTCCACTTACTGCAAAATCACTCTGGTAAATACATTTGGTTATTAGAATTATCTTTATTACAAATAAGTAAATGTTAACAGAGAAACTACACCAATAAAGTTTACCATAATTAATATTTGAGTATCTAAGTCTTTAACTTATGATTGTTACGCAAGGTATTTGCCAAGTTCAGTTCTGTGCAACAATGGAAACATCCTTACCATGTTACATGGAAAGCCTGTCGACATCCATGTTTATTACATGTCATGCAAGCACCAGTGGCTGCTTTGCTTTCTCTTCCTTGTTCATCACAAATGTAGCAAGTCTTGGGGTAAAAAAAAAAAAAAAAAAAAAAGACAAAAATCATACATGTTCTTAACATGAATCAGAATTTTACAATTATCTTCAGAAATAAAGATCAGGTATACTAACTAACCTACCTTAACTCAAAATATGAATTCATTTTGGACAAGAATCTAACTTTTGCATATAATACAAACAGAAAAATATAAACAAAGACATACAAATAGTCCTATTAAAAAAATTCACAAAGGCATTATCTTCATCAGTCTCACAAACTTTGCAAGACAGGAAGACTCTTCCCAGGCACCGAGGCCACGGGCCAGGACACAATCTACCACACCTCTTCTTCCCAATACCTTGTCATCAAAACTGATTCTTGTACCAAGGGTGTAAAAACAATGTTTATCTTTCCCCTCTGCAGGAAGTAATCGTATCTAAGACAGTTTGAAATAGGGTGTTGGGACCTAAGAGACAAAGAACAGCCCTACATGAATGAGCAAGGTTTAGGTCATTTATTTCAACTGTCTGTGAGGAATCCTGTCATTCAGCCCCACCAAGCTGATATATGTAGGCTACAAAAGAAGATACTTTACCTAAGTAGGTCAGAAATGCCCAAGAGATACAAAGTCAATGAACACTCCCAGAAACTTTGACTGACATCTTCCATTTCCCATGTGCAAATAACAGGCAATATTAACTTTTCACAGCTCAAAATCATGACTGGTCATGTGACAGAAGACTGAATTGCAAAAACAACAATCTGTAAGTATCAGTGTATAATTAATAAAATCAGCAGACTGCAAGTAGAGGATATAAAAAGTTATGTCTAACTACATATGATCAGGTGATACATGTCAAAAAAGAAACTAATTTATAAATAGTAATAAAGTATAACCTAGCCCAACTTCAGTACAACCACATGGTTTCATTCACTCATGCACTGTGGTGCCAAATAACACCATGCAACAATATTTACAAGGACACAGTAAAACAAAAAAAAAACAAAACAAAAAACTAATTATCTAACTAGGTACATGATTTCAACCCCTCTATTGAAAAACTAGAATTCGCTGGGCATGGTGGCTCACACCTGTAATCCCAGCACTTTGGGAAGCCAAGGCAGGTGGATCACCTGCAGTCAGGAGTTCAAGACCAGCCTGGCCAAAATGGTGAAACCCCATCTCTACTAAAATTACAAAAAAAAAAATTAGCCGACCATGGTGGTGGGTGCCTGTAATCCCAGCTACTCAGGAAGCTGAGGCAGGAGAATCGCTTGAACCAGGCAGGTGGAAGTTACAGTGAGCCGAGATCATGCCATTGCACTCTAGCCTGGGCAACAAGAGAGAAACTCCATCTCAAAAAAAAAAGAAAAAAGAAAAACTAGGATTCAGACTCAACTGAATTACAAACATCATTTTATATCTCTAAAAAGTAAAATCCCAAATAACAACAAAACCTATCTAGACACACTGAATAAAAGTATTTCTAAGTACCAGTTACAATGGAAGAATTTTACACGCATTTTTTCCTGCAAATGATCAAAAAAATTTAAAAAAGATTAGAGCACACCGAAACAGTAACATTCTATATGGCAAAATTTGGGGAAAACATGCAAAAGAGGCCTCAAATACCTCAGTCACTTCCAAAGAGTGGACAGTGAATAGAAATCATTATTTAACCAGCCCATAAAACTTTAAAATATGATAATTTTTATTTATTTTTTTAAAAAAAAAGAAAGGGAGTGAAACATCCAGAATGGGAGATCTCCCCAGAGAAGTAACCATTTCACAGGTGAAAAACAGTCAAGTTGTCTCTGGAACTGTCCTACCGACATACAGAAAAAAAATTTACCCAAGTAAATCTACTAAATCTCAATAATGACACTAAGAGTCTGTAGCATTTAAGCCACAACTTGCTCCCAGCATCCCCACACCAACAGCTCCCTATGACAAATGGTCCACTCTAGATGGCATGGCCAAGAAGATGAGGGCTCCCTCCAACTCAGCTTCTAGTCTAGGACTATAGTTTCATCCTATGAGGGCCAGGCTGCCAGTGTCTCTGATCCAACTCAGACCTGGTAGCTCCCATTCACAGATCCCCATCCTCACAAAAAGTCAAGAATATTAGGGCCCTATCATCCCTGCCCCAGCTTTTAGTAGAGTGGAAAGTTCCATATTATGAGAAACAAACTGAAAAAACAAGAAGCTATCATATCCTTCCCTTCTCTCAATACCCTGTTGTAGAGCAAGAGTATCTCTTCAGAAGAAGGCTATGCATCCCATCCCCAGTTCCAGAGCAGCAGGGCAGAGGGTGTACACTTAAGGGGACTGTAAGAACCAAAGAATTCAGCAGTTCTACTTGAGAGGACAGACTTTGCTTTTTAACGGGCTTAGAGTTCATGCTTAAGGGTGTTGTCAAAAATAATGGAGAATTCACAATTTGTGTGTGTGCGTGTGTGTGAAAACATCACACTGTACTCTGCAAACATATACAATTATGATTTGTCAAACAAAAACAAATAAGAAAAAAAAAGAAAACTAATAAAGAGTACCTGAAGTCTATTTTCCAGTGTACTCACTACAATTTAAGTAAAGTCAGAGGGAAAAAACCGAATGGAGACTTGTTAGCAATTAGGACAAGAATGATAGTTACAAGGAGAAACAAGTACAACAACTGAACAGCCAGAAGATTAAAAGAGTGAACGAGAGAAAGACAGCAAGAAGGGCCCTCCTGGGATCACACTCATCCCTGGGGTTGTAGAATGTTGTGCACATGAACTAGGCTGCACCCAGTGGGGAGAAATTGTATCAGGATTTGTGACCTACCTAAAAGCACTCCCCAAGCCAAATACAAATGCATCAATCAATAAAGCTCAAGGGGCTACAGTACAACCTCTGATCAAAAACTGGCTGAAAAATTAGTTACTCTGACCCAGGGGCAATTCCTCAAAAGTCAAATTTCAAAGCAAAATCACATTCATACCTAATGGTCAAAAGACTGTGTACAAGCTCAATTGTACACCCTCTAAGAAATGACTGGAAAACAACCTCTGATATCCTTGGAAAATAGTCTCTAAGCAACAATCACCTCCAAAAGGAAAGGGTGAAAATATAACTGGCTAAAAGGTTAAGTACAATAAGTGGTTTATGTGGCCCCAAGGTGTGGCAATCCTAGGAGGTAAAGCTAAAAAAATGGGGCAATAGTGGGGGGAAAGTGGGTCCTACATTTGTTTGAGCAGGGCCATCTGAGGGTGTATACCATTGGAAAAATAGACTTCAGAAAATCAGTCTGGCGAAGTGATTAAGCAAATAAATGACCAAACAAACAATAGTAAGACATACAAGGAGAAAAAGAATCATTATCCAGACGGGCTATATTACCTAAAATAGGTATTCAACAAAAAATTAAAAAATAAAGAACACACACAGGAAAAAGGAACAGGAAGAGAAACTGTCTTGGAGAGTGCCCAGATGTTGGACTCAGGAGACAAAGACCTCAAATAAATGGAAAATCTAGAGTTTAAATTTTATTTAAAACACTCAAAAGCTGATTGAATTGGGAGAAGAAAAAAATTAGCAAACTTAAGAAGAGATCAATACAGATTATATAACCTAAAGGACAGTTTTTTTCTTAGATTATACAACCTAAAGAACAGCCTGAAAAAAATGTGGGACACCATTAAATGCACATATGTATCAACAACCAGAAGGAGAAGAAAAAGGGAGACAGAAACTACATTTGAAAGTCCAGTGCTGAAAACTTCCAAAATTTGATTAAAAAAAAAAGTATACATCCAAAAATCTCAACAAACTCAAAATAAGATGAAAACAAAGAGATCCACACTAAAAATTATGAAAGTGGCCAGGAGTGGTAACTCATGCCTACAATCCCAACACTTTGAGAGGCTGAGGCAGGAGGATCGCTTGAGCCCAGGAGTTCAACACCAGCCTGGGCAACATAGCAAAACTTCAGCTCTACTTTAAAAAAAAAAAAAAAAAAAATTAGCCAGGCCAAGCATGATGGCGCAAGCCTGTAGTCCCAGCTACTCAGGAAACTGAGGTGAGAAGATGGCTTGAGCCTAGGAGATCAATAACTGCACTGAGCCTTTATTGTGCCACTGCACTCCAGCATGGGCAACTGAGCAAGACTCTGCCTCAAAAAAAAAAAAAAGCCAAAAATAAAGAGAAAACTCTTAAAACAGAATGAGAAAAATGACCTGCCACATGTAAGATAAATACAATAAAATTAACACCTGAGATCCAATCAGTAACTACGGAGGCCGGAAGGCAGTGGAATAACATATTCAAAATACCCAAAAAAAAGAAAAGAAAAAAAAAAAAAAACCCTGTAAATCAAGAATCCCATAACTAGCAAAACTGTCTTTCAAAAATAAAGGCAAAATACAAACATTTTAAAATAAAAATTTAGAGATTTTCTTGCTCCAGATGTGACAAAAAAGAAAGACTAAAGGAAATTCTTTTAGCTAAAATCAAGAGACACCAAACAGTAATTGCAATCTACATGAAAAACAAACAGCTCTGACAGAGACCATGTAGGAAGTAAAACAGTGTGATTAGGTATTTCTTCTTCATTCTTATCTATTTAATTTAAATAGTTGAATTAAACAATGTCTACAAATTGTATTGCCAACACTGTAACATATACAAACGTAACAATGTGACAATGACAATACAATGAAACAAGATTGGGTCAAAGTTATAAAGAATAATTAATACCTAGGCAGGGGTGGCTCATGCCTGTAATCTCAGCACTTTGGGAGGACAAGGTGGGCGGATCGCCTGAGGTTAGGAGTTCCAGACCAGCCTGACTAACATGGAGAAACCCTGTCTCTACTAAAAATACAAAATTAGCTGGGCATGGTGACGCATGCCTATAATCCCAGCTACTCAGGAGGCTGATGCATGAGAATTGCTTGAACCGAAGAGGCAGAGGTTGTGGTGAGCCGAGATCGCGCCATTCCACTCCTACCTGGGCAACTAGAGCAAAACTCCATCTCAA